TCACCGCACTCCTCCGGGTTTTCGTCGGAGTTGTCCCCGCAGTCGTCCTCGCCGTCGCACTTCCATGCCAGCGGCTTGCACAGAGTGTTGTTGCACTGGAACTCGTCCAGGGGGCAAGTCCGCACTGGGCACCGGCGGACCGCAAAGAGCCCACAGTGAGCCCTGAGCCCCAGGCTGGCTGCTGGCGGCAGGATCTTGCCCCCCCACCCCCACAGGTGGAGGCCCAGAGGGATCACCGGGCAAGTAGTAGTCCGGCCAGAACGAACCCAGGCCTCCTAATTTTATACCAGCCCTGCAGCTGAGCAGAACGGGCTCCTCTGGTTATTTAGGGGAGAAGAGGCCTTTTTGGGGAAGCATGTACAGAGAGGTCCAGGGGGCCCTCATTCTCTGCTGGCTGTGGCAGGGCATCGGGGCCTACCCTAGTTAATGGCAGGCACAAAGGAGGAGCACTGGGCTGGGAGTCAGGAGACCTAGGTTCCAGCCCACTAGGGCAGAGCCAGAGCGTCTGTCCTCACTGTTGGCGTGGGGGTGGGGGTGGGGGTGGGGTCTCTGCTCCAAGCCCCAGACTTTTCTTACGCAAGCTTCACCATGTGGCCTTGGGCCACGGAGCCCAGGCAGGTCAGCCGGGGGCAGGGGCTGCTTCCTTGCCCCAGGAAAGGGAAAGGAAACTGAGCGGGGACTGCCCTGTGGGAACTTGTGGCATGGAGCCTGGATGGACACAGCCAACAGGTTTCTGCGGGATTTGGGCCCAACTGGCCCCTTGACTAAGTGCCGCTGTGGAGGGCACAACCCGCACAAAAATGTAGCCAGAGGCCCTGGGTCTCATCCACTGCTCTATCCCCGATGCCTGGGAGAGCGCCTGGCACACGGTAGGTGCTTAAGAACAATTTTTTGCCTGAGCAGTGACTGCAGGAGAGAAGGCACGGTGACTGGGCTTCGGGGGGGGGGGGGGGGGGGTGGCGGTGGGAGGGGCTCACCGCCAGTGCCGCAGGCTTCCTCGTCGCTGCCGTCCATGCAGTCGGCATCCGCATCACAGCGCCAGCGCAGGGGAATGCAGTGGCCGCTCTTGCACTGGAACTGGTCCATGTCACAACGGGGAGTGCAGTCTTTCTGTGGGCACAGGAGCAGGCATCCCGGTCAGATCGGGGCACCCCTGCAGGCCCGCCCTGATCCTTCGGAAGCCATCCCTCCCTCCGGGGGTCTCCCTCCCCACCTCGTCGGAGCCATCTGCGCAGTCATGGTCCCCATCGCATTTCCAGCGCCCGGCAATGCAGCGGCCGTTGGCACAGGAGAACTCACTCTCGGAGCAGGGCCGAGGGGCTGGAGAAGGACAGGGGAGAGACAGGCCCCAGGAGGGTGGGCACAGGGACTCAGCCCTCGGGGTTTCTCCAGCCCTTGGCAGAGTGATACCACCCATCCCTGTGTCCCTGAGAGCCACAGGTGACTGACGTAATGACCAAGATGCTCAGCCAATGGCGAACAAGCCAACTGGCTGCCCTCATGGGATCAGCTGGGTCCAGCAGGGGCTCACACTTACCCCTCTGGGGCAGACACACGAGAGAGGGCATGGGTCCCTGGCTCTGCCCTCAGGACTGACTGTGTGCAGGGGGGTCGAGGGGAACAGGAGAGGGACAAGGCCGCTGAGACAAGCGCCAGGGTTTAGGGAGAGGCCGGTACCGGATGATGGGCTGAGGCACAGCACAGGGACGGGCGGGCTCTGGGGCAGTGGCAGGGGGTGTGGTGGGAGCACGGGCACATCAGAGACACCTACCTCTGCAACCCCGAGAGGACAGTGTGAAAATGGAGAGAAACATGAGATGAGGTGAAATGGCACAAACTCAAATACACGACATGGAGCGGGGTGGGGGTGGGGGGGTTGAGCAGGGAGGGGGGCACCTGACCCCCAGCCCTGGGAGGTGGCCGCCTGCCCCCGCTGCGGCCTGGCGGGGGCAGGGGTGCTGAGAGGGGAGGTGGCCCGGGTGTCTGGGCGCGGGGGGCCTGCGGGCTGGGCGGGGGGTGGGTGGGCACATACTGCAGCTCTCCTCGTCTGAGTTGTCCCCACAGTCGTTGTCATAATCGCACTGCCAGCGACCGGGCACACAACGGTTGTTCTTGCAGCGGAACTGGTAGGGCTCGCAGGTCCGCTCGTCTAGGGGAGGCGAGATTGGGGGGGCAAACGTCGGGGCCGTCAGGGAGGGAGCGGGGGCAGGTTGGAGGGTTTCGGACAGGCACGGCAGTATGGCCAGGAGTGGGACCGAGGGAGGCAAGGGGGAGGCCACGCAGCGCTCCGGTTGAGATGCGGGGTCGGCAAGGCGGTGATGAGGTGGGAGGGGCACGAGCGAGAGGAGCTGCCCTGGGGCGGGGACAACAGAGCCCCCTGTGTGGGGTGGGCAGAGAAGATTCCACACAGGTGTGTGCTGCTGAGGGCCGGAGGGGGGGGGGGACGGCGAGGAATCAGATGGGAGGGGGTGGGCACGGGAGGCCAGCTGGACGCCTTCCCCTGAGAGCGGGGGCGGGGCGGCTCACCACACTCTTCCTTGGGCTCGTCGGAGCCGTCCCCGCAGTCGTCCTCTCCGTCACACTTCCAGCGCGCCGGGATACAGCGGCCCGAGTCCTTGCAGCGGAACTCATCCACCCCGCAGGTCATCTGGGCTGCAAGGGGCGGCTGGTGGTGAGGGGGAGGCTCCTCGCAGGAGTTGGGGGGGGCGGTGCGGGAGCAGCTGACACTGCGGAGGGCAGGTGGGGTCCAGGGGCACCCGGCCACTCACTGCAGTTGGCGGGCTCGTCGCTGCCATCCACACAGTCGTTGTCCCGGTCACAGACCCAGACTCGGGGGATACAGCGCTTGGTGATGGAGCACTGGAACTGGTTGGGGGCACAGGTCACTTCGGCTGCAGAGCGGGGGAGAGAGTGAGGACCTGCCCGTTCCACCCGCACCACAGCTCAAGATCACCACCTTCTCCCTCCTCCAAGCTCTGGCCCTGGTCCTGCCAGCAATTTCTTAGGAGAAAGGGACCATTTCGCTCCAGTTTTGGTGCTTTTTGTCTGCACATCTCTATGCCGAGCATGATGATTTTATGAGCGAGCCAAGACACACCCAGTGTAATTTATGTGGCCCATCTAAGAACGTTGCTGGAGAGCGGCGCGGCTGCTAGAAGCAGCGCTGGGTCGATCTCACCGCGGACGGTGCCCTCGTGCCTGTGTGCCCACCAGCCCGCTCCCTGCCCACGGTCTCGGGCACTCACGGCAGTCCCTCTCGTCCTCCCCGTCCCCACAGTTGTCTTGCCCGTTGCAGCGGAAGATGCCGGGGATACAGCGGTTGGTGTTGGTGCACTTGAACTGACTGGGCAAGCAGACATGGATATCTGTGGGAGGGGGGAAGGAGGAGAGGGTAACTAATGGAGGGGGGAGGATGCGGGGGCAGGGAGGGGACGCCCCACCCCCTCCGCG